CATGCAGGAGGAGGCGCCGTCGCCGCCCGCGCACACCATCACGTCGCTGATGCGGAAGCCCCAGTACTGCTTGCACTGCGCGTTGGTGAGCAGCGGCAGGGCCGCCTGCTGCAGCACGGCCGGCGTCTGCGTGGCTGCGGGCAGCCGGGCGCCGTGAGCGGGGCGGCGCGGGCCGCGGCGGCGCGACGCGGCGCGGCACYGCGGGGTCCCTTACCCTTGGGGTCCGTGAGGCCCCAGCCCGTGGTGACGCACGTGAGGCCGCCGGGGAAGTCGTCGGAGGCCTCGGGCAGGCACACGGGCGACACGCGGCTGGAGAGGCGCGCCGGCGACGCCAGTTTGAGCAGCGTGATGTCGTTGCGGAYCGTCAGCATGTTGAACTTAGGGTTCTTGAAGACCTGGCGCGGGCGGCAGCGCAGCTCCCAGCTCCTGCCCGCACTGCCCCGCGCCCGCACCTGTACCCGGGGGCTGCGGCGGGCTCCAGCCTCCAGGCAGYGCCGGGACGGAGGGGCCAGGGAGCCGCGAGCCGGGCACAGCGGGAGCAGCCCCGGGGCTTGGCGGTGCTGGACAGCACAGAYGCCCCCGGGCACCAGGGGCTCTGGGGGCCATGGGCAGCCACCCCTGGCGCTCGGCTCAGCCCTTCCCCGGCAGCAGAGCCCAGGACCGGGGCCGAGCGGTGCCAGCGCCGCAGCAGCAGCCACGGGCAYCCTGGGGAGGGACTGGGACCCAGTAGGGAGCCGTGCTCAGCAGTGACGGGCACCCTGGGCACCGCCTCTCCTCACGAGCAGCAGGTTCCCCCACCCCTCTAGGGCATGTGGGGAGCTCAGACCCATCAGGGAGCGACTATGAGTGAGGCAGGTAACCAGAGCTTGGGCTGCTCAAGGTGCCAGGGAGCAGAGCCCAAGGCTGGTGCTGAGAGGCGCCCGGTGCCCRCAGCGGGCAGAGCGCAGGGCTGGGCCGGGCTGGGCGCCGTGGGCAGCGCCTCTCCCTCTGCAGGCAGGGCCCAGCGCCCGTCCCGAGGAGCCCCCACACGCAACCCCGGCCCCCGCGGCCGGCGCCGGGTGGTACCTTCTCGATGGTCATGACCTGCACGTCCTCAGAGGGCGACGCCTGGTCGTACTCGCCCAGCACCACTTTGTCGGTGGTCCTGGGCAGGGGCAGGCACTGAGCCCCGGCACGGGCCCCGCCACTGCCCCCGGCGCCAACCCCACCGCCGTCCCCATTGCCTACTTGACGCTGCAGTGGGCAGCGGTGACCACCCAGTTCTCGCTGATGAGCGACCCGCCGCAGAAGTGGAAGCCGTCGCTGTGCTGCCGGGACAGAGGCGCCGTGAGCGGCCGCCCCGGCAGCCCCTGCGCCCCCTGCGCCCACCCGCAGCACCCCGGCCCCAGCCCGGCCCACCACGGCGCTCACCTGCAGGGAGACCTGCCAGGGCCACGAGCCGGGCACCGCCGGCTCCCCGTTGACGATGCGGCTGTAGCCGCGGATGACGGGCGCGATGGCGGGCACGCCGCAGGCTGCGGGCAGAGGCAGCCGTGAGCCGCGCRCTGCGGCCGCGCTGGCCRCCCCCAGCCCGCGTGTCCCCCTGGCCCTGCACCCACTCACCCGCCTTGGGCAGGGAGTCGGCRGCGCGGGCAGAGCCCGCCAGCGCCAGGCAGCCCAGCAGCCACAGCAGAGCCATCGCGTCTCTCACCACGGCCCGGTGCCCGCTGCCCCTTTATGCCCGCATGCTGGGAACGGCCCAGGCGCTGGCCTTGTGTGCCCCGACCTTGGCAGATAAGCGYGGCCCTGGCCCCGCTGCGGCACCCTGCCAGGACTGCAGTGAGGCCCCTATCGGATGCCCCTGCAGCCCAGGCCCCTGTGTGTGGCATGACCCCAAGCTGTGGGACAGCGATGTCCGCGAGCCTCCAGCCTGGCTGCAGCTCAGCCCCAGCACAAGGGAGCCTGGTGGYGGCCCTCAGATCTGGGGCACAGTGCCCGGGCTGGGGTGAGCAGTGGTGCTCGGCCATCTCTGACACTGGGGAGGGGAGAAGGGGCGACAGAGGGACCTGGGTGCCCAGGACCACCAACATCGCATGGTTACCTGAGGCTAAAGAACCAGGGCTGCCCCAGAGTGCCCGTCTGGGAAGAGGGGGACAAGCCCTGCAGCTCTCTGCAGGCTGTGCCCCCAGAGAGTGGCAGCGCGAGTCGCTCAGGCCGGGTCTATGTGAGGCAAAGTGGACAGGAGACTCCAGCCTGATGGTCTGAGAGCAGCATGTGCTTGGGATGGGGACACCCTTGGCCATGCCAGGAGGTGCTGCTGAGTGCCTGGACCCCTCCTTGTGTCAAATAAACTGCTGGGCATGGGGGAATCATAGAATCATTGCACTTGGAAAAGACTCTCAAGATCAAGTGTGGCTGTAGAGCAGAGCAGAACAGGGAGGAGCCAGCGCTGAGTGGAGCAAATGCCCATGCAGCCCCTTGGCAGGGGGAACAGGTCCCCCAGTGCCAGCTGCTGGGATCCCAGACCCTTTCCAGGAGCTGAGGCAGGGCCAGGGCCACGCTTATCTGCCAAGGTCGGGGCACACAAGGCCRGCGCCTGGGCCGTTCCCAGCAYGCGGGCATAAAGGGGCAGCGGGCRCCGGGCYGTGGCGAGAGACGCGATGGCTCTGCTGTGGCTGCTGGGCTGCCTGGCGCTGGCGGGCTCTGCCCGCGCCGCCGACYCCCTGCCCAAGGCGGGTGAGTGGGTGCAGGGCCAGGGGGACACGCGGGCTGGGGGCGGCCAGCGCRGCCGCAGCGCGCGGCTCACGGCTGCCTCTGCCCGCAGCCTGCGGCGTGCCCGCCATCGCGCCCGTCATCCGCGGCTACAGCCGCATCGTCAACGGGGAGCCGGCGGTGCCCGGCTCGTGGCCCTGGCAGGTCTCCCTGCAGGTGAGCGCCGTGGTGGGCCGGGCTGGGGCCGGGGTGCTGCGGGTGGGCGCAGGGGGCGCAGGGGCTGCCGGGGCGGCCGCTCACGGCGCCTCTGTCCCGGCAGCACAGCGACGGCTTCCACTTCTGCGGCGGGTCGCTCATCAGCGAGAACTGGGTGGTCACCGCTGCCCACTGCAGCGTCAAGTAGGCAATGGGGACGGCGGTGGGGTTGGCGCCGGGGGCAGTGGCGGGGCCCGTGCCGGGGCTCAGTGCCTGCCCCTGCCCAGGACCACCGACAAAGTGGTGCTGGGCGAGTACGACCAGGCGTCGCCCTCTGAGGACGTGCAGGTCATGACCATCGAGAAGGTACCACCCGGCGCCGGCCGCGGGGGCCGGGGTTGCGYGTGGGGGCTCCTCGGGACGGGCGCTGGGCCCTGCCTGCAGAGGGAGAGGTGCTGCCCACGGCGCCCAGCCCGGCCCAGCCCTGCGCTCTGCCCGCTGCGGGCACCGGGCRCCTCTCAGCACCAGCCTTGGGCTCTGCTCCCTGGCACCTTGAGCAGCCCAAGCTCTGGTTACCTGCCTCACTCATAGTCGCTCCCTGATGGGTCTGAGCTCCCCACATGCCCTAGAGGGGTGGGGGAACCTGCTGCTCGTGAGGAGAGGCGGTGCCCAGGGTGCCCGTCACTGCTGAGCACGGCTCCCTACTGGGTCCCAGTCCCTCCCCAGGATGCCCGKGGCTGCTGCTGCGGCGCTGGCACCGCTCGGCCCCGGTCCTGGGCTCTGCTGCCGGGGAAGGGCTGAGCCGAGCGCCAGGGGTGGCTGCCCATGGCCCCCAGAGCCCCTGGTGCCCGGGGGCGTCTGTGCTGTCCAGCACCGCCAAGCCCCGGGGCTGCTCCCGCTGTGCCCGGCTCGCGGCTCCCTGGCCCCTCCGTCCCGGCRCTGCCTGGAGGCYGGAGCCCGCCGCAGCCCCCGGGTACAGGTGCGGGCGCGGGGCAGTGCGGGCAGGAGCTGGGAGCTGCGCTGCCGCCCGCGCCAGGTCTTCAAGAACCCTAAGTTCAACATGCTGACGATCCGCAACGACATCACGCTGCTCAAACTGGCGTCGCCGGCGCGCCTCTCCAGCCGCGTGTCGCCCGTGTGCCTGCCCGAGGCCTCCGACGACTTCCCCGGCGGCCTCACGTGCGTCACCACGGGCTGGGGCCTCACGGACCCCAAGGGTAAGGGACCCTGCGGTGCCGCGCCGCGTCGCGCCGCCGCGGCC